CTTCCTACCAATATGACCATGTTGCGAAAACAAGGTCAAACAACCTCTACACAACGAAAGGAGACTGCGAACACACAAAAGGCCACACCATTTTGGTCTTCATATCTATTCATATCATTGCAGAAAATCCTACTGCCAGCCATTCATCACCTTAAACGAAATAGGGTGAATACATCTCATAGAAATATATAATCGAAAAGATATTAACCCAAAGTTCTTCATCCCATAACCTCGGGCACGCATAACTTGATTTGCAGGTTCCAGCCTCCTTTTTTTAGTCATTGCTCTTCCTACGGTCATAGCATTTGTGTCTTCCACTTTCCAAAGTGTCGTGAGTGCTTTCCTCTATGCTTCTTCCCATTTCAGGCACTATCTTTGCATCAACCTTATAAAGTAGTATCTGCTATTGAAAGTTTGAATTCAATTGAATATTCTGAGGGAAAGGATTTATTGCTTGTCCCCCCATAAACAGAAGATTCACCTGATATTTTGCTAGTTGAATTAAATAATAGTGTACAGCAGTAACCCTGCCAACAACTTATAAACAAAACGTATTCCTTCGCGATCCTACACTCATTCCTTATATTCAAGTTGTTGGCCATTTTGCTTATCTGTATATACTCTTTAAACTTCCTCTTGCTGGTGAAATCTCTATAATCTGCGATTAGTTGACTTTAGATCAGTCATTCTTGTGTTCTATTTAGCTCATTTGTTCAGCCAATTCAGAGTTTTGAAGCCAAAAATATTCGTATACAGTTTTATACTCAATGATATTTCCTCCGTAATAATAAGTAGGTCTATGGCTATCCACGTTTTTATCTTAGCGCTTGGTGAATTGTCGTAAAGGATAATTTGAGGCTTATATTCTGACATCTTTCGTCTCATAAGTGGGTTTTAGAGACTCCTACTAGATCTAATCTAAGAGATGTATTAACCCTCTTTGCTCTAGGGGAATAAGAGATTGGTAGTTGAATTTTAACGCAATCATATGAATAAGTCTAATGTTTCCAGTAAGTTTCACAAAGCCTTCTTCTCTCCTAAAGGGTATTCTCATCCAGTGTGGACTGCAGTTTCGACCTCGTCTAGGTCTCCTCAGCATTCCCAGTGAGACTCGAACCTTGGAAGTGCAGCTCATAATCCCGACATATTTACCACAGAGTCACACTACCATGAATGCCATTGGCCCATTGGGCAGAAATGCATTTCAGGAAAACCTATGCCTTTCCCATATCACAGTTCCGTTAAGGGATTATCGATGCTGGAAAGCTGTATCTGCTATAGCAATCGACGACATTACATATTTTTCGTATCTAATGTTAGTCTCGAAAACCTACTTAAGAAACAAAAAATTAGTATTTGAGTA